CACATTGTCATATTAATAGACGCATTTTAAATTATTTTGCTCCATATATTAAGTTATACATACACACGCATTCTAACAATGGAAAGGATTTAAAAATGGAAGAAAAATATTTCAGTACATCAAAGATAAATTAAAAACGGAAAAAAATAAAAATAAAAATATTGAAAATATTTCAATATATCATATATTAGTCGATGTAATGCATATTCGTTTAAAAATCCCCCACGCAAATTCAAATATTAATATACGCATTTTAAATTATATTTGTTGCAAATGTTAAGTTATACATACTCTCACACGCATGTTAAGTGTAAGTTGAACGCATATTAGAGCAACAATGCCCGATAGACATGTACTTGTTGGCATTGGAAATAAGTGACAAGTCAATTTCGATGTCAGCAATTTTTATATTTCCCATAATGAGAATCTTTTAAAGTTGACTGGTCATTCAATACTTAAAAAAACTCACCAATTGATTTTTTTTTTTGTTTTTTATCGGGTGTAAGTCAGTTAATATACAATCTCAGGCACATTAAGAATGAAAGACGCGCATAATAACGTGTTAACGTCCGCATTTTAGTGAATATAAATTGAAGCACATTATTTTAAGATTAAGAATACCCCATCGCACATTGTTATATTAATAGACGCATTTTAAATTATTTTGCTCCATATATTAATTTATTATTAGACATACATACGCATTCTAACAATGGAAAGGTATTTAAAAATGGAAGAAAAATATTTCAATATATCGAAGATAAATTAAAAACGGAAAAAAATAAAAATTATTTGAATAATAATAGGAAACGGATTCTTCAATGGTTGCGTTTTATTAGGCGTCGAATAAGCAATTCATATTTATCTCAACCGCTAAAAAAACGCACTCATTCACGTACATTAATATCTTAACTAACGCACACAAAAGTAGAAACGCACGCACCCTGTACGTTAATTGTCAACGTCAATTTATTTTTAAGTTCACTAAACGGTTAACATTGAATTTCTGCAATCGGTGAATTTTACCAAGTTATTCGACTATAAAAGTGGAGTATCACCTTACCATACAGCATACATATTGAAACCGTGTCATTTCAGTTTTACAGACCATCATTCATTCTTCGTCATTTTCTTCATTTTCATTAGGATGTTTACCCATCCTCATCATACTCGCCCTCCTTCTACTTGTTTGTCAATGTAGTTGATTACAATAACAACACATTCTAATCATCCCATGGATCAAATACTATATCTCAACCCTGGAAGTTTATACGTGGATGTAAAGGAACTATTAGCGGAGCCGACATCACTTGAGTAGAGCACATGTTATCGTTGTTTTCATCTAAAGCAACACATTTTAAGCCTGAAAGGATCTTCTTCTGTGGATCTAAATGCTAACTGATTTGGATATTCAATTTAGACATCAACTTTTGGCTGTAAATTGAATATAACATGTGGGGCAGTCAAATACATCTGGATCAGTTAGATTTTAGGTTCATAGAAGTCGATCTTTTCAGGTTTATAATGTGTTGTTTTAGCCCAGACTTGCGGCAGGATCCTCTACTCCATTTGGAGATATATCTTTTGGTACCTTAATGCATGCTTAACCAAAAGGAATATCTCCAAAAGGTATAGATGGATCCTGTCGTTTGCCTGGGTTTTTTTTTTTTTTGTTATTAAAAACAAGCTCTCATGTCCACCTCTGTTGTTGTTATTATTAATATTATACTTGTAGTAGTAGCAGTAGCAGTTCAAAGTGTAAATTATTTCAATGTAAATAATAAATCTTTCTGCATTTTATTCATTTTTTTCTTTTGGGTTGTTTTTGATAATGGTTAAATAAACTAGCAATTCCGAGTACTATTAGACTAAAATCAATGGACGTTATGTAATTTGGGATCTTAATAGGTTCGTGTTACATGATAATTTAATAGAAAAATTCAAGCACATTAAGATTTTTTTTCAATGAAATATAAGATATAAAAAAAACGCACATTAAGACCAAATTCTACGCGTATTACTATGTCCGGAAAACAACATCCAGACTCACGTATTTTCTAATGCACATTATGTTACTGTATTGCGCATGTTAAGTTTTTTTGTATTTGCCACGGACTATAGTTTTAATACATAATGCAACGCACATTTTGTTGCCGTATTACGCATCTTGAGCGTACGTATTGCATTTTAAATTTATTCTTTTTTTTTTTCTTTTTGTTTGTTTTTAATTTTCAGGAATTGTTGTTTAATATTTTTCATATAATCAAAGTAACGGATGAGCTCACTGGCGAAATGGTAGAAGTCTTTGATTAAACTGATTCACCTAGGATTGTACCCCCATAAAGACTTGATCTTTTTATTATATTTTACTTGTTTTTTGTTTAATAAAATATAATAAACGCATCTTAGAGTGATATTTCGCACACTTTAATTGGTTCCCGACGCACATTAAACTTTTGGCTTTAAAAAATCACTTATTTCGATACAAATTAATTAAATTTATATTTACACGCATGTTGTTCTTCTAGCTCGCGCATGTAACAAAGCAAAGCAAAGCACATTAAGTCTTTTATACCAATCCACGTAATATTCAAAGATATTTGATGTCACAACTTTAAGGCATTTGTAGTTGGTTGGGGAAACGGATAACATTGAATGGTCATTCAATGCCTTAAAAAACGCACCCATTAAAGGAAATCTTGAAAAATCTAATCTGTCTGTAAATCATGCAACATTGAAATCTCAAATCAGTGCATGTGACCAAGTTATTCACCTATATATAAATTAGAAGGAACAACACACAACTGAGCATCAGGTTATTGAAATATTAGACTTATTTTTTACACATCGTATATTAACTAATAAGTAAACGCATATTAGAAAAAGAAAGTGTTAAATATTGCCTTTGTACGCGTATTAAGCTTTAATGTCGCGCAAGTTAAATGTTAATCGACGCATGTAAAGACTTTGGCATTTACCACAGACCAAAGTTTTTATACATAAACCAACGCACATTCGGTTTCCGTATTACACATATTAAGCTTTAATGGAGCGCACGTTAAAAGTGTAATCAACGCATTTTAAGAATTAACTGCACGCAGGTAAAGTATTAATGACACGCAGTTTAAATTATTTTGCTCCATATATTAAGTTATACATACATACGCATTCTAACAATGGAAAGGGTTTAAAAATGGAAGAAAAATATTTCAGTATATCAAAGATAAATAAAAAATGGAAAAAAATAAAAATAAAAATATTGAAAAATATTTCAATATATAATACGCACATTTTGTTGCCGTATTACGCATATTGGGCGTACGTGTTGCGCATGTTAAGCTTTTTTGTTAGTTTTTAATTTTCAGGAATTGTTGTTTAATATTTTTCATACAATTAAAGTAATGGATGAGCCCATTGGCGAAATGGTAGAAGTCTTTGATTAAACGGATTTTGCCCAGGATCGAACCTCAATTAAGACTTGATCTTTTTATTATGTTTTTTTTTTGGTTTAATAAAATATAATAAACGCATCTTAAAGTGATATTTCGCGCACTTTAATTGGTTTCCCGACGCACATTAAACTTTTGGCTTTAAAAAATCTCTCATTTCGATGCAATCTAATTTAATGTATATTTACACGCATGTTGTTCTTGTAGCTTGCGCATGTAACAGAGCAAAGCAAAGCACATTAAGTCTTTTATACCAATCCATCCTTACGTAATACTCAAAGATATTTGATGTCAGAACTTTAAGGCATTTGTAGTTGGGAAAACGGATAACATTGAATGGTCATTCAATGCCTTAAAAAACGCACCCATTAAAGAAAATCTTGAAAAATCTAATGTGTCTGTAAATCACGCAACATTCAAATCTCAAATCAGTGCATGTGATCAAGTTATTCGCCTATAAATTAGAAGGAACAACACACAACTGAGCATCAGGTTATTGAAATGGCTATCTCTCACATTTCTGCACGTATAGAAGAACCATCTTCATTTATTCTCTATCTTTTATGCCCTTTTCATTTTCCTCACCCTCCAGCTTGTAGTGATTGTAACTAACTACAAAAACAACACATTCTAAACCTAAAACATTATTCGTCAATCTCAGCTGCAAGCTCGTCATGCTGTAACCAAACATCATCCAAAGGCTGAGTTGAGCATTATGGGTGGCTGGCGGTGTGTCGGATGCTGCTGGAACCAGAAGAGATGTCTTCAAAGTGCTAGAAGAAATAAATATGTGCAATCGATTATGTATGTACCATTTTATTTGCAAATTATTTCATAATCAAACAAACGCACTTTAAGTTTTGCAATCGCGCATATTAGACTTATTTTTAACACATCGTATATTAACTAATAATTAAACGCATATTAGAAAAAGAAAGTGTTAAATATTGCCTTTGTACACATATTAAGCTTTAATGTCGTGCAAGTTAAATGTTAATCGACGCATGTAAAGACTTTGGCATTTACCACGGACCAAAGTTTCTAGACATAAACCAACGCACATTCTGTTTCCGTATTACGCATATTAAGCTTTAATGTAGCGCACGTTAAAAGTGTAATCAACGCAGATTAAGAATTAACTGCACGCAGGTAAAATATTAATGACACGCACTTTAAGCTAGTAGCAGTGATTGTTAAACACAAATCAGTGATAAAAACAAAAACTAGTAATAGCTGAACATTAAATTCAAGTATCTCAACTGCAAAAAGCGGTCTGAAATGAGTTAACTAAGTATTTGTGTTTCATATTTGCTATCTATTTTCGTTCTCGACTGTAAAGGCGTTGTAAAAATAGTCTGCTATGCCTTTTTCTTACCCTTTTGCTTGTCCTTATTTTTGGAGTTAAGTGGGCAAGTCCTGGTGTCTTGTTGATCTCCTCTAACACCACAAAAATTGCACCTCCTGCCCTTTTCTTTTTCCATTGCCAACTCCTTGCTGCTTTTGATACGTTTGTTGTTGCCCTTGTTCTTTGCATGTTTCGGTGGAAGTATATTAAATCTCTGAAATCTCTGTTGATCCACAAAAGGATTCTATAACAGTCTTCCTGCTGTGCTGAGGGGATAAATTTTCCTTTCCTGACATTAGCAGCTGTTTCTGTTCATTAATCACTTGCGAAAATGCAGCCAATTGCTCCATGTTTGAACCTGCTAGATCAATACAACAGTGTACATCTGCCCACAATTTGTTCAGCATCATCTTCTTTTCATCCTTTGGTCCATTCTGATCATAAATGACATCATCTATTTCAAATGTAGCCTTTAAAGATGCATCCTTGGTCCACCGATTAACCACATACCTCAGAGGGATCTTTTCAAGGTCTCTAAAGACCACAAATATGTGTCTACGCAACAGTCCAACCATCTCAAACATCTTGCAACCGCATTTGGCCTCATGGTCATTTACATTGTGCACCACAGTAAATATTTTGTTCTTTCCATCCATAATATAATAGTGTAGCATTCCACCGTCTTCTCTAACACTCAACACTATACATTTGAAACAGGAGGCACATATTTCTTCCTGAACTTGATAGAAAATAGTAATGGTGTAGACGATTGAAGCGTGTTTTTCGATCCCCAGAGGAGTCTTCATATCTGGATTGTAACCTTCATTGTCACTGTTGAGCTTTGCGTTGGTGTTACATTGTGATTTAAGAGCACTGTCAAAGTTCATCATGAATTCAACTAGGCTAGACTATGGGCCAGTAAAACGGCTGTACGTGTAGTTCTCACTTTCGGAACGAGACGTTGTCCTGAGTAGACCCCCCATAAAGTCATCTCTAAAATAGGCTGGGATCCAACGGTTTCTAGCCTCAAACATAGTTGTAAACCAATTGTGTTCGACTAAGTTGTACTTTTCAATGAGCTTTCTCCACAGTTTCTCAAAATCAGGAGGTTCCAAAGATGACGTCCAAACGATTGAGTTCAGTTTGTTCTTGAACTCCTCATTCTTGTTCAACGTAGGACCCACCTTTTCCCCAACTTTACACATAATGTGCCACATGCAGTAGCGATGCCTGGCTTGCTTGAAAACTCTTGGAATCGCCACTTTCATAGCTGGATCTTGATCGATGACAATTATTCTTGGTTCCATACCCATTGCATTTTTAAATTTCTCAAAGAGCCAAACATAAGACTCAATGTCTTCTTTCAACAATAGTCCAGCGCCAAATGTTATACACTTTTTATGGTTATCAACTCCGGTGAACGGTGTAAAAACCAGATCGTACCTACAACACAAAAAGCGTCATCACAGTATACAGGTGTCAAACTGGCGCACTTAGAGCATTAGCGTGACGCACATTAAGTCTTAAAATCGCAGACACATGTACTTGAAGTCTAATTCTGGATGTTCCGCATTAATATGCGCGACATTAGTGTTTAAGATGCGTGGTATAAAGCGACAATGTGCGCTTACTTATATTACAATTCTTTTCAAGTAAACAGTAAACATGTCTAAATCTTAACCTGGCTCACAGGCAATGCTTAATTTGAATTTATTAATGAAACGTACGCAAGAATGTGAATAGAATAATACCTGTTGGTTGAATATGTGGCATAAAAAGAGACAACATCTCCAAATGCAGCAAAATTCATTTTTGACATTGGATCTGCCCAAAACAGTCTACTCATCTACTCATCTTCATCAACTTCGTAGTCAAAAGCAAATGCAGGGCACATCTCTTGTTTTTTAATAAGATTATGCACGAGTATTTGTGCATCAGCACCCAATATGTATGCTCTGAGATCCCTTTTGACATTTTTAAAGCCCACTACAGTTGCTCCAACTTCAGAGTAATCCCCCACAATCTGACTGTATAAACCGTGTGATTTTGATGCTCCAATATTTGCCTTAGCACAATCTAGTATAAACTTCTGATGAACACTGGAGATGTTTCTATTTCCGTTTAGGAACTGCCTTGCAAGAACAGAAGACATGCTGTGATTGTGTTTTTCAATAAATGTCTTAACTTGGTACCCAGCTGCTCCAATGTACCTAAAAATTATCCTAGCTCTGCAACCAGTTTTGTTTGAAACCCTCCGCCGCTTTGGACACGAAGGACCTTCCCCCGCATCTGCAGTTGGTTTTGAGTGACAATGTTGAGCACCCGTATTCTTAAATCCCTCTCTATTGCAAACGATTTGCTTTTGAATTTTCGTCCCGTCGCATGCTGTAGTGAGGGAACTAGACCTCGTGTCAAACTCGACTTTGGCAGCATAATTGTTGTAGAATTCAATACCAGCATCCAATGTTTTAAAAATCATGTCAACCGCTGGTTTGATTTCATCTTCACAGTGCGGAGTCCAATACTGCGTCATTCCAGGAGATATGGTCAATAACCGTTGCTGCTGCTGCTGGGGCTCAAACTGGGGTTGTTCAGAGATTGCAAGTCACTGGGAACTGTAACACATAAGCATGAAGTTATTATTGCGTTGTTGTAAGCCTCTACGTGCGTAGTGTGAATACTTAATATGCATTAATTTAATCAGATCAGTGTCAATATGTCAGGTTTATAAAATACAAGAGTACGTGCGTCAGGTGAGCACTTAACGTGCGTCAGGTTAATAGTTAGAGTCCGTATGTTGAACAGTTAACATGCGTAAGTGTTTTTTAAAATGTTAGGCCATTAGTTAACGTGCGTCAGTGAGTCCATTAACATTAACATGCGTCTGGAAAGCACTGAACGTGCGTGTGTTTAACAGATAACATGCGTAAGGGTTCTTTCAAATTTTACGCGGGTAATTAACCGGCATTAGTGAAAACTGTGATATGTTCATCTGTAAAAATTAACATGCGGCTACCTAATCATCTACGTGCGTAAGTCTTTAGGCTCGGAATAATTAAAGTATGTCAGTAATTTAGTTGTTAAGTTGCATGCATGTAGCTTTTTAATGTGCGTGTAATTAAGACAAGAAGGAGGCCAATACAAGAGCAGATAAAATTAATTCCAAAATAAGCGATAAAATTTGTGTAATACCTTGATCGAATTCTTCCATTCTTGATCGGTTGACGTTGTTGCTGGGTTTAGGTTTTCGTTTGAAGAATAAGCTATTGAACGACGAAGAGAATAGATTTTATTGCCAATTTCGTAGAGATTGCAAAATCGTCTAAGATTAGGAAATATCGGAGATTAGGAATCAATGGTGAATTTTGAAAATGCGCAAAGAAGAAGAAGATCAGTAATTTTGAATTTTTTTTAATATAATCAAAAGGACCAAAATGCCCTTAATGAGCAATTCGCGTGTATATTTCGCTGATAATCTTATTCGTTGGATTAACTGCTACGTAAGGCTTAGATTCAACCTCATTTCTCACGGGAAGGACTAAATGCACGCGAGCCCTTCCCTATATGTATATATATATATATATATATATATATATATATATATATATATATATATATATATATATATAAAGTTGGAATCTATTTGACTTCATAAATATATACAGTATGTTAATTGAAGTCGAGCAGGTACGATATGTACAATAATATTGTACACGCGATAGCCCACAACCATTATTCAAATTTACGTTCTGAGTGAAATATGTATTATGACCTCAATTGAAAAACAATTATAATATAAACGAGTTTAGGTTCTCCAGAGTTAACTAGCGTAAATAAAAAAGGTCAATACATAGCTTTTACTATACAGATGGTCAAACTTAAAACTTTGTACTTACAAAACCAAACTAACTACTCGACCAACTCGGTTAAAGTTGCCCAACGTTATGCACAATATATAATGGTTACCTTTAGATGTTGTAATTGTGAGACAAATATCTGATAGGCAATAATATATTATATTAATAATTATTATATTATATTAGTAATACGGGTCTAGGAAATAGTAATAGACATAAAATAATAGTAGTAAACTACTCTCAAATAATCTCGGGTCTCATAAAATAATTTAACAATTATAATAGAATATGCAGATAACCGGGGTATCACACCGTGGCCTAAATAGTGTTATATGGACCATAAAAGAAAATACATTTTTAATAAATTAAAATTATATTATTTGTGTATTGAATGTACATTATATAAAATAATGTATTTTTAGTATTCAAATATTAGGGCCTTGTTTGGTAAAATAGTCAGTCTGGTTAATTTGGCTTATTTGACCACTATTAGTTTTCGACTTGAATTGGTTTAAAAATCAATATAACTGTTTAGTTAATTTGTACTTCAAAATGCTAAAATTTAAAAAGCTACTCAAACCAATTTTTTCAATTAGCTTTTTGAGAAAAGAAATTATACCAAACAACTCTTAGTTAACTGTTAATTTACCAAACAATTTTCTACCATCAACTAATGTTATCAATTAGTTATACCTTCTAATAAACTCAATTAGCTAACAGCTAACAACTATCAGCTAACAGTCAATTATTAGTTAACAACCCATGTTTTATTGTAAATATACTAATATTCATTAATTATTAGCTTAATTAAATAGTCAATTATACTACTGTTTGTGCTATTAATTTCTTAATTACCATAATAATTATTAGGTAATTATACTAATATTATTTAATTATACTTTTGTTGTAAATGGAATGTTGCTGCTGCATGGGGGGTCTGAGTAGAAGCTGCCGCGGTGTGCAGTATGGTGTGCCTACTGCATGCACCAATCCGCCGATTATCACATTCCATCCAAGAAGTCCAAGACGCCGCATGCCGTCGAAGAAGCAAATGTGGTGCCGGCAAGCTACCCTCCCACACCGCCGAGTTCCTAGTGGACCAAAGCGCATGGAGCAAACCAGAGATTTGGCCTTGTACATCAATACTAAAACCTGTTGCACCACCGAGTCACTCCTCCGTCCACTGCAAGAAACTCCTTTTGGCAAAAGAGGGAATTTGAATTTGAGACATATGCCAAACATTGACAGCATATGGGCACGAACAAAAAATATGCAAAACACACTCCTCAAATAAACCACATGACGGGCAAATATTAATAAGGTCCACCCTCCTATTTATCAAGTTATCAAGCGAGGGCAATATATTCATGAGGGCTCTCCATAGAAACACCTTCCACTTGGGGGGAACCTGCAATTTCCAGACATTATTCCACACAAGAGAAGGCTGTGAATTTATAAAACCCAACCTCCTATAGCCATCCTTAACCGAGTAGCACCCCCTTAATATAAATCCCCTTCCCAGTACAACATATCATCATAATCCAAACTTACAGGCAGCTGCGATATAAGCATTGCATCCCTTGGATTAAAAAACTGATGTAAATAATCACCATTCCAACTATCCGTGTGGGCATCAATCAGATCTGAGACTAACATTAACCGGCCATTATACACCTGTTCAGATTCAACATAAGGTTTTTGGGCATGCGGTAGCCAAGGGATTGTCCAAACTAGAGTAGATCTTCCATTGCCAATTATTATTAACTTAATTATCATAATAATTATTAGATTTTATATAGTAATAATTTGGAGGAAGTTTAGGCAGGAAGCTGTAAATGTAGGATTTTGTTTTTATTAATAGTATAGATAGATATAGATTTTTAATTGTTAAACTGTTAGATTTTAAAAGATAATTGTAATTTTCAATTTTTAAAGGGTTTAGTTTTAAAAATTACAATATTATATATATATATATATATATATATATATATATATATATATATATATATATATATATATATATATCTTAAAATAGGTTTTATGAATTAGGAATTGGGTTTCATTTTTAATTTTTAATTTTTAAAAGGTTAGTAAAAAATTAAATATTTTAGTGACGGAAAGAACAATTCTCATAATCAACCTCTTAATTTAAATTAAACTTGTTAGTTAGAAAACGCTCCACATCCTTAGCGTTCATCTTTGTCTCTGCGTGCTTCTGATGGCGGCACCGCCGGGGGCCGCCGCGCCCCCTCACCACACTTTTGCTGATATTCTATCGAAATCATCTGAATCCTCGCCTCTCCGGCCGCCGGGGCGTTATAAGGGTATGCCCGCGGTCTCCTTCTCAGACGACTTACAACAATTCTCTAAGAAGTTTCGTTTTGCACTAGTAGGCAAATTCGCCAAAAGTCGCCCGCCGATGGCTGATCTTCGCAAGACTTTTGACCAAATTGGTT